CCCCAAAACCCCAAAACCCCAAAACCCCAAAACCCCAAAACCCCGAAGTATATAATATTTATTGGATTGTAAGATGAGAAAGAATAATAAAATCTCCTTGCGAGAGGTTGATCTTCGTAAATTCAGCACCATAGATACCAACAAGACTCAAATATTAGGATCTGGATCATTCAACTTGAATACAAAAGGGAAGAAATCTAAAGAGATGCTTAAAATGATATATTCAAATGAAAAGATCACTTTTCCTGCCAGAAATAAAGAGAGTAGGTATGATCCAAGGCAATCAAAATTGGTATAGGAGAAGGCTTAAGAGCTCATCCAAATGCACCTAGTATTAAGCCTATAAAGTCTTCCAGCTTAAGATCCATGAAGTTCAAGGGCGGTAATAGAAGATATGCTCATTCTAATGCCAAGTCTAATTCTCAGAATTCAAATTATAGTATTTCACAGAAGAAAAATTTTATGCTTGAGCTAGACTTTGGAAGTAAGTTACCAAATTTAGTAACACAATAGGCAAGGATATCTCCCTTGAGCAGCAAAATCCTTCTTTGAAGGGTAACAGGAACAAGTCTATTAATCGGACTATCAAGAATCGGATAAGTGTAGTGGACTCCAATATGCTGAGAGAAAAGGGAAAGTTTATAAACTTTGAACCAAAATCTAAAAGAGTCGAGTCTCAGATAAACAAGCACCAGTATACTCCTGTTTCGTTCAGAAGCGACAGTAAATCTGATCCTTCGTTCAAAGTAATCGAGGACAATGTCAAAACCAGGCTCAAAGATCTAGAGGAAAGGACTGTCAGAGCGAGTAAAAGAGGAGAAACCATCAAAGTTTTCGATGAAAAGAGGGTATCTATTTTCATCCAAGCTTTAAAAGAACTTCATGATTTCAAACTTCTTCCAACCTCCTTGGCAACACTCTTAATGGAAGGTCTCGATGACTCCAAAAGAAGGATGATATCGCATGAGAAGAACATGGCCAATATGCAACAGATTATCATGAATCAAGTCAGTGATCTTGACACCAAGCTAAAGCTCAAGCAAGCTGAGATGAATGAAACTGTCAGGAAGTGTGATGAGAAGATCAAAAAGCTGAACCAACAAAATATAGAACTTAAAGAATGAGTTTCAGGTAAACTTGCCCACTCAAAATATCAGGCTGGTTTTAATCTTCTTTTCTAGAGCTACAGAAAAGATTGGATGACATCAAACAGAGAGAAATTGAGAGGTTGGAAGACACCGATCTTGATGATGTTGACCTCATAAGTGAGACAACGAAGAAGAAACATAAGAATCCTAAGCCCCCACATCCTTTAGTGCCTTCACTTGATTTTGTAAAGCTCAGGAAGATACAGGAGGAAGAGATGAATAAGATCCGGATTTTGAAGAATGAGCTGGATGAGAATATTCCTTTTGAAGAGGAAAATAACATAAAGATCAACGATAATGATGAGGATTATGAAGACGCCACTAGCCTCTCTAGTCAGTACAAGCCGATGTTTGAAGAAGGGCCCCCTATCGACTCCCAATCTGAAGAAGCCCTTCTCATAACACAAGAGCTAATGATGAGGAAAGCACAGGTTATTACACAATTGAATGAGATCTATTCAAAAGAGTCTGAAGATGAAAACGCTGAAGAGTCTGATGAAAGTGGCTTGCTCTTAGGAGAATAGAGTCTTAAAATTACAAAATTTTCGATGCTTAAAGACTACTTTTTCAATACTTTATTTAAAATTTGGGGTTTTGGGGTTTTGGGGTTTTGGGGTTTTGGGG